ATTCAGGTTCCCCCAGCTCTGCTCCATTTTTGGATGGAAAATGACTAAACTGAAATTCCTCCTCACAAAGTAAATATTACTCTCAAAAACTCTGCAGAGGAAGTAAGATATTACTCTGGCTTAACTATTATTTTCCATGTCCATGTCAGTGTTAAACACAAAACAGAAGTTTAAAAACAATTTGAAAGGAATACCCTGACCAATCTGGTGGTCAAATGCAATTATGTAAAAAACCTGCACTTGGGAAGTTGAAACTTAACTCTAAAGATAGGGCTCCCCACCCACATAAGCAGGATGCAGAGGCTTTGCACAGAGTCACTAAGGTACTACCAGGATTGTATGTCAGGAACAGACTTGATGGCTTAAACCATCTCATTCCCTCAAGGGCATCCATTTTCTGCTATTTACTCTCTGCACTCTGTGCTTTTCCAGCAACCAACCACAACCAGATTGTGCACCCTGGGCCAAGACACACTGAGCACAGCCATATCCCTCTGCTCCTGCACTGCAGAAGCACACGTTCTGAAGAACTGCACTTGCCATTTTGATTTGCTACCTGTAAGTGCACTGGCCCCAAGTGACAAATGAGGGCATTAAGAACTACCTAGAAAAACAAAAGAATCAGACAGCAGTCAACAGACAAATGCTCTCTTATAGCACCAAGAGCAAAACTACTGCCAGAGCAAAACCTGTTTGAATACCAGTACACAGGAACAAAGGACAAGATGAGGAATAGCTGTTTTCATTATTGCTCTAAATGTTAAGGGGAAAGAAAATAATTTGTTCTTTTAATCATAAAGAGCCTCCTCAAAGGTCATTGCCAACACAATAACCACAAAATCCATACTTAACATTACAACACAGGAAAAAGGGACACAGTTCTTACACCATTCTGTAATCTGGAAAGATTTTTTAAGCCATTCTATTTCTCCACAGCAAGCAAAACACATTTTCAAGAAATAAATTCATAGGCTCTAAGACAAACCAGACTTAATCCATGCCCAATTAAAATACTTCTCCCCTAATGCATGATTAAATACCTATTTTTTTCCCTTAGAATTAATGCAGGAAAGGAATATTCTCTCATAGTCCATAAAGCAGAACATGAAGTGTGCAGAGATTACCAACATCTCTCAACCCAAGTGTTGGTACTCTGATGGGGAGTACCAACCCCCTGGACAGACCCTCTGAAGGCCTGAGTTACAGAGCTCAGCACTGGGCACAAAAGCAAAAGCCAGCAGATCATCACAGCATCCAGAGTCAAAATGCAAACTCCCACTACAATGCCAGAAGTATTTCCATAAGCTGAAATAGCAAACTAGCTGTCCAAAGTGAAACATACTGATACACTAATATAACTATGAAATGCCATACCAACTCCTAAAATTCATCAAACTTTGACATGAATTTTCATGAAAAACTGTACTACATTAATTCCATCTATAAGCTAACAAATATTCTAAAAGAGCCAACTTATAAACTTTGCTCTGCAAGGCTATGCTTTTATACCAAAACTTGCATGAAATACTATTTGGGTTTACATCTTATAGAATAAACTTAACAGTTAAAAAAAAAAAAAGAAATCCCACCAGACTGTTTCAAAAATCCAAATATTGTTCTGAAGGTTTTTACCTTACCCTACTGTAAGACTGTCTCAAAAAACTTCATTTTCTAAGTAGCTGCATTTTTGCTTTACATGAATTACCAGTGTGATATTTTTCTAATGACACAACTTACTTTCCAGCTACCAAGTTCTCCCTACCTTCACAAAGATGACCTAACAGTAACTATTAATACTGAACAGTCTTTTGTTGCTTCAAATTCACCTAAACCCCTATCTGCAAATTACCTGCTACATCCAGGATTACTCATAGACACTCTTCAGACAGTATTAAGTCTTGATCAAGCAACATTAGGCTAAGATTATGAGAAGCTTTCCACATTAAGAGCTTCTCAAAGCCTTTAAAATGAGATTGTTACAAGCACTAGCTGAAGGCTATTAAAAAAAAATAAAAAAGACCAGCAACTTGTACCATTTTAAATAAAAGATACAGATCCTCAACTGTGTTACATGGCTGCACAACTCCAAATCAACTGCTTTCTAATACCAAACATTAGCTAAAATTAACAGACATTGCATCACCTTCATTTTAATGTCCAGAGCAATGGCCACTGAGGCAGGATAATACAACTGGAGCAGAATTAACTGTACCTCTCAGTTTGTGCAAAGCCATGCTAAGTCACATTTTTCAACTCAGTCTAACTCTTAGCATTATCTTCACCTATATTAAAAATTAAGACACAACGATGGCTCATGCACTGTCTGGGCAGTATAAGGAGAAGGACTAGCAAATTGCACTTGAAAACAAATTAACAAGCACTTTCTTCAACATCAGTACCAACACAGCCTGGTTTCCCACACCCAGAGATACAGTGCTGTATGTGGGTTAAGGTTGAGCTCACACTGCAGTCTTGCTTACACTGGGAATATTAATGTTCTTCTACCTGCCTGCTTTCCCTCCCAGCCCCCACCCCTTCCCTTCCTCGTCAGAAATAGTCAAGCTTGTTGTCTTAAGGATCTCTGAGCCCTTTGGACAAATCTGGTTGAATCTGGTGGAGTTCAAGAGTCACCAGGAAGGGGAAAATTATTACAGGGAGGGCAAGGACATGTAAGCAATTGAGGTACATACACTATTACAGTCCTCCCAAGTCCCTTCATCCTCCACAACTCTATCCCAAATCAATCAAATTAACTCTGTAGTTTTGAACGAGCCTTCCCAGTAAACTTTACTGAACAGTCACTACAACAAAGAAGCCTTTGAAGTACCTACATTTACACTGGCTGACTATACACCACTATCTCTAATTGCTCAGTGTGCTGAGCAACGTCCTCAGAGACAACTTTTATTTATTTTGGATCAGTTTACACACAAGTATAACAGCAGCTTAAACATCCAAGTTTTACTTACACTAACTGACAAAAAGAAACACTACCACCAAGACTGCAGTCTTTAAATAAGAGTAAGGAAACCAAAGACCCTCCGAGGATGCTCTGCAAAGATTCATTTGCAGCTGAATTTCATTTCTGAAGAAAGATATGAAAAGTGTTTTTATCTTCATTTGACTGGGTGTCAACAGAATGTAATAGACTCTGAAAGAACAGAACCATCAGATCAAGATACAGCTTGTCCTTCACTACTTCTGGCTGAACTGCCAGAATCAGTAACAAATACCTCAGAAAATCAGAACAGAACTCCTTCAGTAAACTGTGCTTTAAGTAACCTCCCCCTCTGCATTCAGACCACCACCACACTCAAAAGTTGGAAGGACTTATCCACCAAGATTCATCAGCTTCCTCCTGTTCAGAGCTGCATATTTATGATATACACAGTGTTATCTAAAAAGAAGTTCTAGAATTTAAGTAAGTGTGTTTTTTCCGTGCTAAATATTGCATTTTATTATTTTCCACAGGACTGGAATCAGGAAGCACCAATGAAACTGCTCAAGACTGTTCCTCTTGGCCTTTCACACATGATGAATTTTCAGAGCTCTATCACATTTTCTCCCCACAGCTCTCTCACTTTCTTTTTCAACCTGAAAAATACTGTTCTGACAGAGGTTGTCTACAAGGAAACCATTTCACTGTAAAACCTGTTCTACTACAATCTCTCATTAAAACCAAGGAAATGCACTGTTTCTTCCCCTTAGAAATACTGGAGAATGAACTTACTCCATTTCTTATGAAAACAATATTCCAACTTTAAAATCCTCTAATTTTTATTTCCAGTCTGAGGATGAATCATAGTTAAAGACAGCTGCTGAAAATCATATGAAAGCAAGAAATATTTTAGCAGCAAAAATAAAGAGCAAGATCAAAAGACAACTACACATCCTACAAATGTAGCTCAAACTATAGCTCAAATCAGCATTTCCTGGGTTTTCTTGAATTACATATATAGAACAAATAACTGAACTGTTAATATATAGAAAATATATATACATATATAGAACATATATAGAAAAAATAACTGAACTGTGACTATCTTCTACTATTCGGTATCTTCTTGTTTACAGCATTAACAACTGAACAAGTCCACTCAAATTTCTAATCCCTGGGTTAACTATATTTGAGAAATGAAAGTTATATAAGTTCTTCTCATTCAAATTGATTTTGATAACCCAGAGCAAGTCAGTAGGTGTCATCTTCATCTAGGTTCATCTAATGTGATCTTCTACCCAATTATAGAAGCTGTGGTTTAATCAGCCCATTATACAAAAACCTCTCATGAGATGTAACAACATCTAATATTTTCCAAGACTGACTTGAAGAAAATTACAGTGCTGTTCAGCTCCAAGGGCCCTGTGAACTCCCCTCTGAAAAGTATTAAGCCATCTTACAAACACTGCAGAGCCCAAAAACACCTCTAAAAGGAAGTCTGACAGAATGCAGTCTCAGGGGTCTGAAGTTTTTTTATGTACAACCTGATATAGTTGTGCAAATTACAAAATGTTTGTGCAGCTGAAGTTCAGAAAACTACACTTCCACCTAAATAATGTAACAAAGCATGGCCTAAGCTGTATCTTCAGCTTCATGGCTGTAAACACGTGCCCACACTAAATTCTACTACCACTAACTCACTGCTATTGAAAATACGTGTTTAAAAACCACAAATGCACTCAGCAATTTTAGAAAAGGAATGTTATTATTATTCCATTTTATGGAATAGCTAGACTAAGTGGACTAACATACTGCCCTGAAGCTAAAGCATTGCACCTCCATCTGCAGACACAGATTACAGAGCCAAAGACCTCAGAGCAGTATGTAAAACACAGAATGCTCCTTAGTGCTTTTGGTTAAATACTCTACAACTGTTTACAATTAAGAATTGCCCCACAGTTTTATCAGAAAACTTAAAAATCCCTTGAAAACACAAAGTCTAAAGGGAGGTCAGCAAAAATCAGAGGAAAATAGAAGTATATGGACAGTTGAGCAAACAAACCTGCAGTTACAAGTTTAGCACTGCTGCTCTTGCATTCTCCATCTTCCACACTTTTGCTTGTGCTCTTTTCTTTCAAGAGGGGAACAGTATTGTCAAAAGGTATGCACTTGCTGGAGGCAACATTTTCTCCACTGTCTGGCTGATTAATTCTGCTGTTTGCTTCAAGTAGAGGAGTGAAGTCCTCAGACTGAGCAGCTTCACCAGATTCCAGCTGTGAGGAGCTTTTAGCCTGTGACACATTCTTTGAAGACACAGGAAGAGATTCTTCATCACTGTCAAATCCAAATGGATCCTCTGTTACCTCATCTTCAACTTTGGGTTTCTTAGGAACTTCAGAAATATCTGGTTTGACACTGGGCCTCTTCTGTCCTAATTTGGCCATGAAGGTGGTTTCTCCCCATTTTGTACTGAGGGTGGTCCGTTTGTTGGAAAACACTTCATCAAACTTGGAACTGCCATTTCCTCCTTTCCGGCTGTAGGTCTTTCCAAATCGGGATGTCATTTTGGCTCCTGTTTCATATTCTCTGTTGTGAAAGAAAGAAGAAACATCAATTCATCACCTCTAGAACAAACAACATGATTGTTACTTCCACCCTTTATTGGGCCTACAAGCACCAGGCATGTACATTGCCTGGTGATCAGATCCATCACCTTCTTCTTTCTAGACTCACTCATTCACAGGTGACTGTCATTAGGGCAAAGGATCTGCATTAAGCACCCACTAAAATAAATTGAAATTCAGCTACTTGCACATTTATAAACCAATGGCACAATGAATCCTTTAAGAAAAAATCTTCTAAAAATGGTATTTCTTTGCTCTAATTTTATATTTTCAAGGATAGAAGGCACTTTCATAAAACAACTCAGCAATATTTTCACATCTGACATGCAGCTCCCTCCTAGAGCCCAAGAGCACAGCATGGCATTAAAAAAATCTCTTGCCAGTTAAACACAAAAACTGTCAGAATATTTCACCTTGCTGTCGATGTATTTTAAGTACTAATTAATCACAATGATGACAATTCCATCCCATGTTCATCTCTCACACTCACTTAACTTGCTAACATGATGTGGTCAGGACTGGTGCACAGCAATCCCCCACAAGTAAATCTGATTCACCAGGGGACAGAACAGAGACACTGCTCAATCCACTTCTAAGAACATGCAGGACACCTTCAGCAGGCCCCTGTGAACTGTTACTGCTCACTGGCTCTTGCAAGCACAACCACTCCACTGCTTGCTCAGAAGAACAGAAGGGTAAAAGGAACAGATTAAGCAGGAACACATTTAGGAGTTCCTTGCATGTGGTGTTGTTCTACTTTTGTTTAACTCAAGAAGTAAGACTGACCACCTGGGGGATTTTTACCCAAAAACAAATACTTCCACTACTGGACAAATGACAACATAAACTCCAAACCCTCCTATCTGTTTTGTGAAGCACTATTTCTCTCTTTTTGGCCCAAACATGGATAGGAAATTGCAATTCTTTATAGTCAGCCTGAATCTAATCAAGTCCATCTTTCTCTCTGAAACTCCTCTCCATACTGGAAAAAAGTCTGCTAAAAAAGACAGTTATTTAAGCTACAGAACCAAAGAAATCTAACTTCTGAAATGTTAACTAACTTCATATAAATATATGAAAAATGGCAGTTAAAATAATTTTTATGGGACTTATCATGACCTATTTGTTCAATACAACTGTTTTTATTATTACTCCCCAAATATGTGACATACTGTCTTTCCTATTTTAGTTTTCATCTCAACACTCAGTTTCTCAACCTGAAGTGTCAGTTTTGCATCTACTAAAACTGCCAGACTGCTTTCCAGAAATGTCCCTCTATCACTTCATTCTAGCAAGACTGTCTCACTAAAAACAGTCTCCCTCTATTAGACCAGGCCAACCTTCACTTACCATAGGAACCAAACAATTCATGGGGAGAAAACCCATGGAGAAAATTTAAAGTGAATTAAAATAATCACATTTGAACTTCAGAAGTTTATCAGGCAGATGGTGATGCAATGCAGAACAGCTACAGGAACACCCACTTTGGGAAAGGCTCTTTTTACATGTGGTGCAGCTGAGGGAAGGTGAAGGCAGGTGCTTATCTGCTGAGCAGAACCCTGCTGCAAAAGCCCACTCTTCAGAGGGCTCCTGCCTGCTCCTAGGAAACAGCACTCTTTAACCCCATCTCCTCTTTTCCCCACTCATATCACTGCCAAACTTCCTTTTTTCCTCCCCTGTAGGTAGCTCCAATTTTCTATCTATGCATAGTTTAGAAAGCAAACTAAATCTAAATTACCAGTTTTATTTCGCTGATGCTTGTATTTGTAATACCAACCAAAATATTTTAGACCAGAACAGACAGGTTTTTGAGCTGTAGAAGCTAAAGTAAAGTATTTATTAACATCTCAGTTTCCAACAACTTACAGGAAAGAAAAAAACATTTCACTCATCACTAGCACACTTTCCTCCCCTAAACCGTCAAGACTCAAATAAGTATTAATGATAATAAGCATTGTAAGAAGTACTCGAGTATTTTTGATACTACATTCCCAGCCTATGCAAAGATAATGAAATATTTAAATTATGGCTTGTGGCTTGCAGTTCCAAAGAGAAGATTCCTGTAGTCAAGAGGAGTTTATTTTCAGAAAGTGAAGCACATTTTCTTGTTTGTATATTTTAAAATTAGGAGAATCTTATAAGAAGTTTTAAATCAAAATATCAAAACCCAAATTAATACTCAATACAATGTGCATAGTTAAAAGACGAGTATTAGGAAAATATAAATACGTTATGCTATAAACTTGTGTCTTAGATTTAAGAACATAAAGAGGTGCCTCCCTACACGAGAGCATCAACAGAATAAGATTTTTATTCTTTACTTACAATTTTCTCTCGATTTTTCACTCAGAGGGAAATAAAACACTTGCTCAATTCCTGTTTCCACTCCCTGCCTCCCTCGCCTGCATTGTGTTGCACCATTTGGAGCAGCGCAAGCAACGTAAATAGGTGTAAAAACCCAAAACACAGTTCTCCCTCATTTCCCAGCGCTAACTCGGCGGACCAGCTGGAGACAAAAAGCCCGGTAATTGCCCAGGAAGCCCATCAGCCACCCCTACTCATCGCTCCTCTCTACACCGCTCCTCTTACATAATCAAAGCAAAGAAAAATAGGTTAAATGCACGGAGGCAGAAGGAGCTGATGAAATCCCACGGTGACAGTTTCTTTTTTCCTCCCTCCCCCTGCGGCGGGGGGGGTGGGGGGTGTGCGAGCGGAACCGGGTCACCCCACCGCTCCCTGATGTCATTTCCCCTCCCGCCCGGCCGCCTCCCCCGCCCCGCCGCACCACCGGCCCACATTACACAAGTGCCCGGGGCAGCCGCGGCCCGGCCCGCGGAGCCGCTCCCCGCCGCCGCTTCACCCCGGGTCCAACTCCCGCCCCGCAACTTCGCGCCGGCCCGGGGGCGGCGGCCCCGCACGCCCCTCCAGGCGGGACAGCGCCGGGGGCCGCGGCGGCGGCTGCTGCCCGCGGGGTGCGGGCCCCGCTCCGCGGCCCGCGCGGCCCCCGCCGCCCCCTTACCCGGCACCCACCTCGGCGTCAGCGGTGGCGGCAAGTGCCGGGCGCGGGCCCGGCCGATGTGGCTCCGGCCGCGGGTTCGGGCCGCCGAAGCGCCGCCTGCGAAAGGCGCTCAGCCTGCGGGACGCCTCCGCCCCTCCGGCAGCGGGACCCTCTCGGGGTGTCGCGGGCGTCAGGGCCCCCGGCGCCGCCTCCTCCGGCGCCGCTTCCTCCGCGCCGGGATTATCGCCGCGCTCGGGACGGGCCCCGGGACCATCTCTCCGCCATTTGCCCCCGCTCCTTCCTGCCGTCACCGCGCGCGCCCCGCCCCCCGCCGCCGCGGCCAATCGCCGCGCGCCTCGCTCGGCCGCCCGCGCCGCCTCCGCGCCTGCGCCCTGCCGCGCGGTGCCCGCCGGGAGTTGTAGTTTGCGGCGCGGCGCGGGCCCCGCAGGGCCCGGGCCCGGCCCCCGGAGCCGGCGGGCGGGTCCCCGCGGCGGGACGGCCCGAGACGGGACGGAACGGGGTGGCCCGACCTAGCGGGAGCCGCCGCCTCCCCGCGGCCGCCTCCGCCCGGGCCCGCGCGGAGGCTCTGAAGGCGGGGCCAGCGGGGCCCGCCGCGGGCAGCCCCGACCGGCCCCACCCCGATGGCGCTCAGGCCCAGGTGGGTCCCGGCGCCCGTCGAGGAGTGTGGGAGCAGCCCGGGCAGCCCAGCCCGGCTGGAGCCGCGGAGGGTCAGAACTCTGCCCGGGAGCTGGGCAAGGCAGCAGGCGCTGCAGCGGCCCTGCGGGCACTCCATGGGAAGTTTGCGGTGCCTCGTGCAGGGCACAGGAGCCCCCTGCGCTCGGTGCCGCCCTGGCTGTACTCACAGTGCGTGCCCGGCCGCCACATCCGCTCCGGGCAGGAAACATGCTCTGCACACAGGGCCCGGAACGAACCGGGCAGGCTCTGAAACTGTGGCTCTCACATGCTCCCACTTCCACAAGCTGTCACATCCACCCACACGCGTTAGATTTATGCACACCTTTGAGGCTTCAATTAATGATACACACTGTGCAGAGAGCAAAAACGCTCCACAAGGATCGTGTCATGCGGCAAATACATATGGACATCAGTCACCAAATCCAACATTTTATATTCTGTAGGCAGTATTTTGTAAAATCCTTGTAGGACAGACAACTAAGGATGCATGACAAGAAAAACATTAAACAACATCATGCAGATGTAGTTTGGTAATTTTTCAGAGGAGTGAGGAACTCAGAAAAGTAAAATGAAATTCTACAACTTTGAAGTCTAAAATGGTTTCACATCACATGCTTATACTCAAACCATCGTTTGAGGCTTTACAAGGCTTTACAAGACAAGTCCCAAATGCAGAACTAATTAAGAGGCTGATTTCACTGCATAGAAGAGGTTAGAGTTGTCTCAATACCTCTAGGTTTTTTCTTAATTTAATATTTACTTTACCCAAAGGCAAAATCACTGCCTCACAATAAGAAGATGCTAGACTATGGTTTTGTTTAGTGATCCTCTGAGTAAATCTGGTCTTTGCTGCATCTCTACTGATGTGTTGGAGCTTTCAGGCATTACTTCTGAAGCACAAACATGCTGTGAACATGCTCTCTAAATCCAGCCTACAACTGGCACTGCTGGAGGAAGTAGAGATAAAACCAACAGGGCCTTGCAATGAGAAGTACAAGTTTCATTTGGAATGTGGTTGAGGTTTGTTTTGTGTTTCAGACAAGCCTTACAAGCTCAGCTGTATCTCACCACCTGACTCAGTTACTGAAGAGCCATTAAAAACAGGCTACAGACTTTAAAATCTGTAATTTGACTACAAAAACTGAGAAGATTGTTCTCCTGAGAGTATTCTTGATCAGAGCCACTAAATAGCTAATTTAAACTCCAAGAGTAAAATGGATAGCTAAACCTGTTTGAGTTTGCATAGCCTTATTTGGTGACTGATCTGTTAGACAAAGAGGAAAAAACAACTGTGAGAGCTTGAAACACTGAGGCTCTGACAAGTCCTTCACAACATAAAAGTTTGTCCTGAGAACCAGAAAAAGTGAAGAATATGGCCAGAGTAAGGAAGTAACACCAAGATTCTATTAAGAAATAGTTTCTATTTTGATATGAAGCTGGAAGAATTGAAATTAAATTAGCTCTATTTCCGATGTAAAGCTGGGATACCTAAGTCGCTAATACAGTAATGGAGAGAATTTTGCAGTCTAATGGTAGTAATTGGATGTATTTGAAAGTTCTTACCCACCTTATACCCCTGGGCTAGCTTTATATTTCTAGCTGTATTTCCAGTCTTTGTAGAAACCCCACACAGAGTAATCCAAACCACTGCAGATTCAGGGTCATGAGGGAATTTCCCATGACTAACAGAGGATAAATTAAACTCATTTATGTGCTGCCTATCCTATTCTGGGTACCAGCACAAGCCTGTAAGTGAAGCCTTTTACTAGGATGATGATGGCGAAACAAATCTTGTTGTGTTCAAGAACAGCAGAGATGTGCCAGTTTTACTGCCCCAACATACCTGAGGTACTTTGAAAATCTGACACCCTGTATCTTACTAAGCTTGGCAGTTAACACATTAAGCTCTGCTATTTCCATTTGCATCTGGCTCACCTCAAGTATGCAAGTAGCATGGCAGAGCAAATAAAAGCCAAATCCCATCTGCGTTTGGCAGTAGGTATGTTTCATTCTCAGAGGGTGTAATTTAACAGGCACTTTATGCTTTTTGTGAAATTATATTACTGTTGGTTGCCATCTCCATTCACACCAAAAAATCCCCAAATCCAACCACACAAATCCTTTCACAAAAAAGCAGCTCATTAAACATTTGGCATTTGTCTTCATGAGAACAGCAGTGGAAGATAATGCAGCCATTTTCAAAGATTAGTTTTTCCACCTTAAAAGTTTTCTGAGAAAGCCTAAGTGAATCCTGCAGCTTCCCATTACTGCCTGTCCCCCAAATCCTTCCAAATAAACTATCATCTTTGCTGCTTATGATAAAGTCAGACAGCCCTGAAAAACACAGCTCAAATGCATCAAAGGTGGATATAAAAGAGATAAAAACATAGTAGGAAGGAATATATAAACAGGACAGAACAGTTATTTGGATACACTGCATCTTAATACACTCTGGACCCCTCTCAGTTTTCCTCTTGAGGTTCTGTGCCAGGACCTGTGCGGGGCAAACAATACAGAATTTTCCAAATGAGCTGCAGCCTAGTACAGAGCCTTTCAAAAACATTAAAACATTTTAAACTTTCTCCCAAAAGAAAAGGGAGGCAATGCAGTAGGAAAACAGAAGGTTTCCCATGCAGCAGATACTCTTGGGGCAGATGAAGACAGTCACATCCTTCCAGAAAGCTGCCAGGAAGGTTTCTCAGGGCAAAACATAGCATTTGAGAGTAATAGCAGCATGATTGAGGCTACAGGTTTTAAAGGGACCATAGTAGTAGGCAACCTTTATATCAAGTACATGAATTAGCACCATTATACACCCTTGCTCCAGTCCTTTTCCCACAAAAAGGGAATAAGCTCATAATCCATTGCCCTTTTTCCCTGTGAAGCACTACCCAGGAAGCAAACAGTAGCTCATCGGAAAGCTCTCCCCATTGCTCCTCATGCCTAAAATGTTCTCCTCACATCTGAAAGCCTCTCAGTCCACTCCTCCTCCTCTGCCTCTCAGCCTAGTCACCATTTGCCTTTCAAGTCCTCAACTTCCTGTAGTGCTTCCTTCCTTGCCTCTTGTCCAGGTGGGAAGGGATGGGGGTGAAGAGGATGTCCTGCTGCACTCACAGCTGCTGCAGTGCTTTCATGTCCCAGTTAGCAGCACTTACAATGCTAAACATTTTGGTGCTTTTTGCTTTTTCTTTGCCAAAAGTCACCATGCTCCCGTAGCTGTCCTTCAAATGTCACAGGCACACACGGGTGAGAGCACACAGCCCTTGCCATTTCGATTCACTGGGGCGAGAATTTCCCCCTTGCTATTTGCACAGCAAAGGTGAGGGGAGGGTAAAGAGACACATGAAGTAACTAATTACCATATTTTAGTCCTAAAATGGTTACTAAGACTTCTCCTAAAATAGTGACTAAGGCTTTAGTATCACCAGTAACATGCTGGAGGAAGGGCAGCAGCACCAGCCCCAGCAGCAGCACAGGATCGCAGGAATGGCAGGGTTGTACTGAGAGCTGCACAGGGCACACGTGGTGGGCTGACCCAAGCTGGATGCCAGCTGTCCACCAGAGCTGCTCTGTCACTGCCCTCCTCAGCTAGGCAGGGGAGAGAAAATACAACAAAAGGCTCATGGGTCAAGAAAAGGGCAGGGAAACATCACTCACTAACTACTGTCACAGGCAAAACAGAATTGACTTGGGAAGATTAGTTACATTTATTACCAACCAAGTCAGAGTAGGATAATGAAAAATAAAACTAAAATCGTGAAACACCTTCTTCACATCCTCCCTCTTCCCAGGCGTAACTTTGCTCCCAGTTTTCTCTATCTCCTCCCCACTCTCACATATTCCCCTCTCCAGCTGCAGTTAGGCAGTTTTCTTCTTCCCTTTCTTATATCTGTTATCCCTGAGGTGCTACCACCATCACTGGTGGGCTTGGCCTTGGCCAGTGCTGGGTCCAT